GATACATATATATATATATATATATTAAATTTTGATTTTAGAATTATGAGAGACAACAAATGAAATGAAACAATTTGAGTCTACAACTCGGGATAAATTTTTTTAAAAAAAAGTTTTGATATTAGAATTATGACAGAGACAACAAATGAAATGAAATGGTAGTTGCGTCAAAGAAATAACTTTGGTGGATCATGAAAGGGAAACTAAGGCTAAGTTTGGCATGATTGAAAAAAGATAAAAAGTCAAAAAGTCACTATCCTATTTAAGTCACATCATCTTATTTAAGTTACATCACCTCTTTAACACATCACTTCAAACCCAATCCAAACCCAACCCATATTTCATAAAAAGTCAAAAAATATACTTATTTAGTCTTCCCAAACTAGGCCTAAAGAAGACTTAGACCGGTATTGTCTCTGTTGTTCATATGTTATTAATTTATCACTCCATCAAGTCCCATCTTATTTTACATATTATATGGGTGAGCAAATGGTTCCATTTCTTAACAGTTACTCACATATGATAATATTGTCTTGTTACAACAAGCTAGACTCGTAACATATGGTGTCGTTTGGAAAGTGAGTTGACTTTTTAATTTTTTTGACTATTTTAATTTAGGTGAAAAAGTTTGGTTTGAGAAAGGCTTTTTGACTCTTTAATTTTTTTTTGTGATAGATGAATGTAATGATTATAGGTTTGATGTGATATTTTGTCTATTGTGACTAAAATAACATATTTTATTTTTTATGACTAAAATAGTCAAAAAAGTTTCCAACCTACTTTCCCAAACGGTGAGTTAAAATCACTTAATTTGGTCAACTAACAATGCAAAATCCCAACTAAACTTGGATTATGTAAGCAAAAGCTTGTGTCAGACGTATTCATTTTATTTTCAACTAAAAAAAAATAGACATGTAAACCTTGAGTATATATATATATATATATTGGTGCAACAGTATTATTACGTGATATTGTTGAAACAACTAAATGTGTGAAGAAATAAATATTATTGTTTATACCTTATTTTATTTTGCTATTGATTGTAACTTATTAATTATGGCTAAGTTTGATTATAGGCTGTCGATTAAAATCATAAATTATTTTCAAAGAATAATCTTGACCACATTTGTTTTTATTATTATTATTTTTATCAACATGCATGTTAAAATGGCATGATAGATGTGTTACATGTTAAATGGAGGGTCAGAAAATTAACAATTGAGCAATTTGAAAGTTAGTTGTTGAGATTAAGGAGCCAAAATTAAATCAAATATTAAATCTGCAAAATGGTTCCTATCAAAGATGAGAATGTATCATATTGAGGAAATCATGGCCTTGTTGAGGAAATTGTGGACCTAAGCTATCTCTTTTTCTCATGTGGCTGGGTCTATAAATAGGCCAAGAGAGATACAAAGATACATCAATCAATCAATCTCAACCACCATTCACAAAACGTGATTTATCTAGGAGTAATTTAACTTAGCAATTGTTAGGAGTAGATTAGTAATAATCTTTTCCCAATCTTTACTTCTCTTCTTTCTGTCGATTGTTGTATTTTTTATTTCTTTATTTTAGTTTGAGTACTTGTAACTGATAACAAGTGATAATTTAATTGAATAAGTACATATTCTTTTTTTGTTCAAATCATTATTTACTTAATTACCTCCAGGGAAACCCTTAATCTATTTAAGGTATAGAATTCAACCACAAAATCTTTTTGTGATTATTAAAATTTGTTTAAACCTGTCGATCAATCACTGTCGATTGGGCCTAAATCAAATTTTTGTTAACATAAATTGGCATGCCCAGTGAGACCATTCTAACTTGGAGGGATGATAATGAAGAAGCAGACTTATCGTGCCTTCAAGAAGTATGCTTACATATTGTGCACCACGGATAAAAACCGCCAATGGAGTGGCAGTGTTCCTATGGATACAAATTATCAGTGGAATGCTTCATATACTGAAAATTGCTAGTGTTATGGTAGATGTTCTACCACTTATTGTCAACATAATGACATGACAAATGATGTGAAAAGAATGATTTGGCGTTGTGAGGATAAAATTTAATGAAGCGAGAGTGAAATTTTAGCCTTAAAAAAAGAAATTAATTATCTTTATAGGCAAAAATTTTATCATCTCTGTATTATTTGACGCAAAGAGACTTAAATTACTGTGATGGAAAAATTTATCGACTTAAAGGCCAAAATTTTCTAATTGATGAATAAATTCTATATTAGAAACAAAAATTAGAAGGCATAATAGCTAATGAAAAATTAAGATATGAAAATAATGTGATTCATACGATTAATATACATATTTTTGAAGAGCCAATCATTCATGAAGAGCCACGGTATGTGTCTCGAAGGGTTAGCACACCAAGTCATGAAAATAATATGACTTTAGAAAATTTTCATAGGTCATTAATGGCTAAAATTAAAAAACAGCCTCTTCTCTAAAAAAATATTGAGAATTTTGATGATAAAAGTTCACTTGGGAGGCATGATATTTTTCCAAACGTGGCCAAAAGTGACAAGCCATTAATAGTTAAAAAAGAAGAACAATATCTTATCTCAAAAAATGATAAAAAATCATCACAAAATTATGGTAGAAATTCACTTGCAGGGCATGATTTTAAGTCAAAGAAGGCTGAAAATTATGAACTTGGGGGATATGATTTTAAGATAAAAATGGTTGAAAATTATGAATCACGTTTGTTGAATGTGAATTTTTGGCATTATTCGAAGTGTCAAAATTTATGAATTTTTCATAACATTTAATTATGTGAGTTTTGGGATCCAACATCCACTTTTGATTTGTAGATCACACCAAAAATTAATTTTCATGATATGGTTTGAAAAACAACAATGGTTGAAAAATGTTATATGTAGTGAATTTTTTTAAATTAGCCAAAATGTGACTAACAGAGAATTGTTTTATTTTAAAAATAAGGGATGTGACTCTTTATTATGTCACTTAATAGAGTCAAAGATGGAGTGTTCGCCAATCGACAGTGATAGATTAAAAATTACTATGGGTGTAATATAACTCTTCAAGAATTTAAATTATTTGCACTATAAAATATTTTCTATCGATTGTAGTAAACCGTCTTATAAATCATTTAATTGGATTTCATTTTTCAACACATTTAAATGAGGGGGCATTGTTTGCACCATATTTATTTTTCTGTCGATTGTGGCTTATTAATTATGACCAAGTTCGATTATGGTCTGTCGATTGAAATCATAAACTATTTTCAAAGAATAACTTTGACCACATTTGTTTTTATTATTATTATTTCTGTTGACAAACATGCTAACGTGGCATGATAGATGTGTTAAAGACGTGGCATGATGACATGTTAACTGGAGGGCCAAAAAGTTAACAATTGAGCAATTTAAAAGTTAATTGTTGAGATCAATGAGCCAAAATCAAATCAAGTACCAAATCTGCAAAATGATTCCTGTAAAAGATGGGATATGAGGAAATCATGGGCTTGTTGAGGAAATTGTGGGTTTAAGTTATCTCTTTCTCTTATGTGGCTGAGCTAGCAAAGATCCTCTGTCTCAAAATATTCTTGTTCGCCTGTCCCAATTCACTCACAACCATTGGATATTTGGGGACAGGAATATTTGGGGACAGTGGATCCTTATGCGTGGCTGAGCCTATAAATAGGCCAAGAGAGACACAAAGAGGCATCAATCAATTAATTTCAACCACCATTCATAGAAAGTGATATTTATCTAAGAGTAGTTTAAACTTAGCAATTGTTAGGAGTAGATTAGTAATAATTTTTTACAATCTCCACTTCTCTTTTTTCTGTCGATTGTTGTATATTTCATTTCTTTGTTCTTATTTAAATTCTTGTAACTGATAACAAGTGACAATTTAATTAAATAAACACATATTATTTTTCTGTTCAAATCATTATTTACTTAATTACGTACAGGGAAATTCTTAATTTGTTTAAGGTATATAATTCAACCGTAAAATATGATTTTTTTGTATTTATTAAAATTTATTTAAACTTGTCTATCAATTACTGTTGATTGGGCCTAAATCAAATTTTTGCCAATAATTATCATAGTAAAAAAGACTGCATGTCATAATTTGTTCAAATCTTGAATATGTGGATCGAAAGCAGACTTGAAACTCTATTTATTTATTTTATTTACTTATAATATTTGTGAGTGTAATAATATTGTTGTACTTAATATTTGTTTGTAAAATGGGATGGTTCGGACCGATACCAAAAGTCTAAAGTTCAATTCTCTTGTTTGCATGGTTCATAGTCGTAGGTCTCCCAACACCTAATTTACACGTTTTAGAGCGTCTGTTTGGTTTGATCTTTTAAAAATTATTTTTAAATGAATTTTTATTTATTTTTAATGATTTTTTAAAAATATTTTTTAAATGTACTTAATCAAAATATATCTGAAAAATGAAATAAATTGATTAAAATATTTAAAAAAATACTAAAAACAAACAAAAATTGAAACAAAAAACTATGTATTATTTAGCAGATTTTTGTTAATTTTTCATAAATGTTTTTCATATTGTAAATTTTTTTTTTTTAAAATACAAACCGTCTTAATGCAACGAAAACCGTCTAAATGCAAACCAAATGAAGTTATAAGAAAGGAAAATCTTATAGATCCCAAATGAATTATCAAATATTATAACAAATATCTCACGTGGGTGTGGACCCACACCCATATAATTTGTGTGAATTTCACACTTATACGAGAAATTTAATAGAATATTTGATAATTCATTTGGAGTACTTACCGTAACCAAGAAATAAAATTGAGGGAAAATTGAGAAAAACGGCAATGGTTGATCCACCATTACACCATCAAAGCCCAGAATCTAAAATGAAAAGGCTCACACGAAAGAACCTTCCTAACTTTCCCGCCCCGACATTTCTTCTCTGCTTCGATATCATCTTATAACTAACTTAACAAATCATTATTTATTCATATCTTTGGATACCCCTCTCTCTCTCTCTCTCTCTCTCTCTATATATATATATATATATATGTCAAATTCGTATTGAACAATGTTTTCAAAGTCCTAATAAAGCTGTCTCCAACACTGCAATTCCAAAAGCTCTAATCCCCAAAAAATAACTAACAGAACCATGTCTTCATTTTTCAGTTATAAATCCATTCCCTTCTTCTTCCTCCTCTTTCTCTTCCTTTCCCTCCCCCCTCGCTTTCCAGCCAGAACCTTACCAGAATTAACTGTTGTCGACTCCCGAAACAACAACACGTGGCGCCACTTCGTCAAGTTCCTTGATGCCGGGAAGGGAAGCCACGTCACCGGCATGTCAGAGCTGAAAAAGTACTTCCAGCGTTTCGGATACCTCGACACGGTACCCGAAACTAGCCTGACCGATACGTTTGACGACCGTTTCGAGTCAGCGGTCATCACGTATCAGAAAAACCTCGGCCTAGCCGTCACGGGAAAACTCGATACCGACACAGTTACTCAAATCATCTCCCCGAGGTGCGGCGTCAGCGATGACGCCGCCCCAGCCCCACACAAGTTACACGTGTCGCGTCACTATGCGTACTTCCACGGGCAACCAAGGTGGGCCCGTTCGTCACCGATGACATTAACGTACGCTTTTTCGCCGGTAAATATAATCCATTACGTATCCCAATCCGATTTGAAAGCGGTTTTTGAGCGGGCTTTTTCGCGGTGGTCGGCGGTGATTCCTGTAAACTTCACCGAGGCCAATAATTATTGGGCTGCCGATATCAAAATTGGGTTTTATCATGGCGATCACGGCGACGGAGAGGCCTTCGACGGCGTTTTGGGTATACTAGCCCATGCTTTCTCGCCGGAAAATGGGAGGTTTCATTTGGATGCGGCGGAGACTTGGGCCGTTGATTTTGGTTCAGAGAAATCAAAAGTGGCCGTTGATTTGGAATCTGTGGTGACCCATGAGATTGGGCATATACTTGGGCTGGCCCATTCTTCCGTTAAGCAAGCGGTCATGTACCCAAGCTTGAGCCCACGGACCAAGAAAGTGGACCTCAGGCTTGATGACGTGGAAGGGGTCCAGTCTTTGTATGGGTCGAACCCGAATTTCAAGTTCAGCTCTTTGTTGGCTTCTGATACTTCTGTGAGTTGGGCCGTTAGATTGGATATAAGGCTGTCTATGTGGGCTTGGGTCATGGTAGCTTTTTTAACATTGAGTTTGTGTTTATGACCCCCTTATTTTTTTTGTTGGTCTCTCATACTTTGTCACACTTTTTAATTTGTACATGATATTCACAAGAATTCAAGAATTTCTCTCAATTTGCAATTTCTTCATAATTCGATTTTTTCTCTTTCCTGGTTTTGGAGTAGTTGTTAGAAGTGAAACTGTTGTATGATTTTTAAGATGAAAAAAGTTACCTACTTAAAAAATTACCTTAAAAATTGTTGAGAAAATGAAATGTAAAGTGTAAGTTATAATCATAATGAATTTGGTATCTTATTTTCTGAACATTTTTTTGAGTATTTACTTTTTTTCCCCCTTCTGCTAAATATGTAGCATTTTTATTATAAAGTTACCAAATTAATGATTTAATTATCACCAAAAAGATTGGGAGAGTGATTTGAGCTCCAAAAATAGTCACTTGTGATAGAGGTTGCAAATTGTCGTGTCTCTACCTATCTAACTTCAAGATTTAAAAAAAAAAAAAAAAAGAAGGAAAGAAAGGCTTATTGTTTTATATTTTTATCCTATTATTGTTAGATTGTTGTCAATTAGTAACTATAAAAGTATTTGAAGGTGACCATCAATGGTCGCAATTAGTGGCGGTGATGGTGATGGTGATGATAAAGATAGATAGATACACAAATTAAGTAGATATATAAGTGATAAGTGAATAATTAGTGAAAGCGATGTGAATAAATAAATTGACGATAAACAGATAGACAAATAAATAGAAATAACACAATCTTCCAAACTTTTTTGCTCATTTGGCTCTAAAATTAAAGTTTGAAACTATTACCTCAAAACAAATTGAAATTAGTTTCATTACCTCTGTGATGACCAGGCATGTTATTTATTTCGTTCCTCTTTGCTTAACTTGGGTTTACTATTATAGCGTCGGGTTTTAGTGTGAGGTATTAGTTTGGCTGTTGGGTTGTTGTTTTGAAAACTCCTCCTCTAAAATTCTCATTCTTATTTATTGCTATCCCGAATTTCATGTGTTTTGGATGGTGCGAGGTTGGCTTGGTGTGTTTTTCTGGTGAGCTGGAAAATTTCTAGGCAGGATAGAAGAGCCGCACGTACGGGGCCTTGGGCCACACGTGCTGGAGAGGGGCCGCACGTGCGGAGAGCAGGGGAGATCCAAGATGTAGCACTGTATTATATGCAGGTGCAGAGGCAGGTGCGGAGGGAGAGCACCGCATGTGTGGGGTGAAAGCTGCATGTGCGAAGGGGGGTTGCCGCACGTATGGGAAGGGGCGCCGCACGTGTGGGACGGATCTGAGTTCGAAAACTCTGTTTTTTCTTTCTTTTTGGCAGAGTGTATACCATTTTTAAACACTCCTTTTTCACTCTAAAAGCATTTTTGCTCCCCCTTCTCTCTAAAAACCCTCACCAAACACCAAAAACCCTTGATTTCTTTCAATCCATTGGGTTTTGATCCATCATCTTTCACAAGTTTTGGAGAACAAGGCAAGAACTTCACTTTGTGTAGTGGAGATTGAAGTTCTACACATTTGATTTTAGGGTCATATCTCATCTCTTCAACAAGATTAAGGTAAGGACTTCTTTGAATTATATATACATGTTTTTGCAAGGTTGATGTTGATTTTGAAGTTTTCTTGAAGATATTATAAAAATTTTGATTTTTGGCTCAAGAATGTAGGAATTTTCAAAAGTGGGTTTAAATCTCAAATTTTTCTAAGTTAATCCTTGAGGGTTTCACTTTCATTGTGTGAGAAAAAGATGTTTTGTGTGTGTGTGTGTGTGTCCTTTTAAAAATGTGAACAGATACCTAATCTTAGCCAAAGACCCAAATTTTGGATTTTTGAAATGGGTTGAGGGTCTATAAAATTAGTCAATTTGTTGATATGTCACAATGAAAGAATGAAATAGAAAATATCTTTTGCCATTGTAGGAATGATGAATTTCATGGAATGTGTGAAATATAGAGATGGAAATTTGTAGTTGAAATTGTAGATAAAGTTATGAAGTAACAAATTGATGGTTTAACATGAAATGTGAAAAGTATTCATTTGTTGATGAATTTAAACGAAAATATGGTTATCATACTAGATAGTGTTGAAAGAGGAGTGAAAAGTTTGATTATGATGAATTATCGTTGAGATATTTGATGATAGAGAAATGTTATGTAGTGATGATGATTATTGCATTGCATATTCATTCAATTGATTATTATACATTTTAAAATTGAGCTTAAGAAACTTTTGCCTTGAGAAAGGCAAGTTTGCGAATGAATTTATTGAAATGTTTTGGGATAAATGCGTTGGTAAGTCTGGATAGAAGGTGTAGATAAAATTGATTAAGTTCGCCTTAGTGTCCGGGATGAAAGACCGAAAACACGCACGGAGGAGGTTCCATTTCCTTTCTGGTTAGCAACCGATAAAGTGGGATTTTGGTAGTTCTAGTTATGTCTACTTGCAAATACCAACTTAGGGATTACCTAAGTTATATTTACTGTCCTGTTGAATTAAATGGATAAATTTGTAAAATGTTGAGATTTTAATTTGTCTTTGAGCATGATGGTTTCAAAAAGTGAAAAAGGTGATTTTCCATTCAAAAAAACATAGCATGGCATGTGCATTTCAATTTAAGAAACTTGTATAAAATGTATATACTTTGTTAAGAATTCTTTACTGGGCTTTATGCTTACCCTATGAAATTTTAGTGAACCTGCCAAATTAGGGTGTGGATGCATATATTGAGACCATGAAGCTCTATTTTGTTGAGACCATATTTTTGTAAGCCAAGGGCTATATATGTGTGGGTTCGAGAAACCACCTTTTGTGTAATCAGACTTAAGCCTTAGAACCTGTAAGCCCTCATGGGCATTTATTTATTTTGATGGAATAGTCTATACGCTATAGATTCATGTGCTAGAATTCCTTGAATGTATAATTGCATATGAGATTATTTTGTATAAACACAGGGATCATGTAATGGAAGGTGTTGGGGATTATTTAGGTTTTTTCTTAAGAGTCATGGTTGTTATAATCCTTGTAAATTTTTTTTTGGGGGGGGTGTTACAATCTCAGTCCATAACAAAAAATAATTTAAATTAATTATTTTCATTTATTTATCCATGTGTCTTTGGATATGCATAAGGCCTCGTTTGGAAATGAGCTATTTTAATATTTTTTTGATTTTTTAACTAAAATATGAGTTAAAAAATTATATAAGTTTGGAATGACTTTTTAATTTTTTACGAAAAGATGTAAAAAAATAGAAAGAAAATAAAATCTTTAACTTTTTGATATAAGTTATAAATTTTTTAATTTTTTTAATAATTTTTTAATTTTTAAATTAAAATACTCGCCAAATGAGATTTAAGTCACCATAATTTTTATTTATTTATCACGTGCCTTTAAACTATTTATATTAGTTTCGGTAAAGTCAAATGTAATTATATAAATGATGTGTGCACAAAAAGAAAAAAAAAAAAGCTAGAACCCTAAACCCTTGGACGATTTGGCTTGAGCGAAAGCTGCGAGAGAGCAAGACCACTCATTCTTGTTCTCTGAAGCTCTTGTGATGGCTTCCAGATGCAACAGATTCATCAACAGAACATCCATATCATCTCTCAAGTCCGCCATTAAAACCAATCTTCAAACAGCTTCCGCGTCTTCTTCGTCTTCAAGATTCCCTCTTCCAACCAGATCCACTTCCTTACCACTTCCACGATTCTCCCTCTCCAGGTCTCAATTCAAATCTCTCTGTCTCTCTGTCTCTCTGTCTCTCTCTCTGTCTCTCTATATATATATATATCTATGCAATTGTACATAACTTTGTATTTTGTTTTTGTATACAATTTTCTGACTCTCAATTTGATGAACTCAGTTGCTATTTGATTTCTGCGAATATAATCATGATATTTTATGTTTACTCAATCTGAACACACACCACAACACATACAAAATCTCTCGTACGTTATTTTATTGCTTTGATAGGAATTTCTGAATTATAGTTCAATTGTGTGTAATAGATCTCCGTCGGAGCTTGGATGCGTGCAGTCTCTGTTGCCTCTCCACAGTGCAGTAGCTTCTGCAAGGATGACATCGTGCCTGAGCTCGTCTTCAAGGAGTTGCAGAGCTCTCTCTCAGGGTACACTCTGCCGTACCTCTCCCGGCCTGTAATATGTTTTTTGTTGTTTGATTGTGAGTTGCACTTCTCAATTAATCTATTGTTGTTCCTTTGTTTTTTCGGCTTACCGTTTTATCTGTGTCTTCTGTGTTTAAGTTAAAGGCATCATAGGATTATAGCCTTGGTCTATCATGCTACTGAATGAGATTTTAATCATTTAATAAAAGAACATTTGTTGTTGGAGTGTCCACCGTTACTAAACATTGACTGCACGTGGTGGCATTCTTAAGTTTCGTCTTTTCCTCTTCTGATCAAGCAACTGACTTTACATTTCAAAATGAGCGGAATAATTGGAATCCAGTGGTTTCAGTTTCATCTATTTCTGTCAGTTGTGGAGAACTGCATTGGTTGATACCTCAGACCATTCATCCAACACATTGTTTTATGGTGGATATGTGTATCAAATTATGAAATTGGATGACCCTATCAATGCAACCACTTTGTTGCGAATGAATTTGCTGTGTTGTTATCAGCTGCATCAAACACATGGCATATTTGGACTGCATGATTGAGCCATATTTACTCCAAACGCACACAGAAAAAGAGGAGGGTAGGTGGGGGCAAAATTTTCCTTTAAATCAATGTTCACATTTTTATTTTACTGCCAGACGAAAATTTCAGACATTGCCAGAAACAGCGTTGCAGAGGAAATTGTCTCTAGTAATTGTTTGGCAAAGCAAAAATGGAGGGAAAGATATAAACATCTCTAGTTATAATAGAAATTAAATAACAGGAAAGAAGTCAGCAATTGATAACCATAAAACAAGAAAACTAAATATTAGTTGGTCTGAACTTTTCTATGTTATTCTGCAAAAAGACGGAATGGAAATCCATGATTCACTATTTGAGGATATTGAACTAAGATGTGTTGGCGTATACGCCGAACGTATTGATGTGGAAGGAAGATACACAGAAAGTTTTGCTGTGTTTCATCTCCAGTTGTGAGACTTTTGTTGTGCTTTCCTACTTCTTTTCACGTAGAAATAGAGCCCCTTGATAAATGTTCTCTAACTTGGGTGTGGAACTGATTTTGTGAAGTACGTATGCATACATGTATATGTATATACATAAAGAGGGGGTGGGTGGACAAAATAACAAAATTGATCTAGATTACTAGAAATTTGAGTGTCATTAGGTCAGAATGTGATCCATGCCATTGTGGATTCTCTGTTTCTACAATCATGATTTTAATGACATTTTCTGATTAAATTTTTCTTGAGCTTGAGTTTTTGTTAATATTTCTGATAGTTGCTTCTCTAAAGGGACTGTAGATGAAGTTGAAGTCAAGAACGTTTGATACTCCTGCGAGACGCTATAATTTTTTGTTGCATACTCATATTTTCCTTTCGTAGATTGCTATAGTCCAATCTCTTCAAAAACTTCCCTAGTAAACAAATTGAGAATATTCTGGGGTGAAAGTGCATTGTTCAGGTAACTGACTGGAATATTTGGTTCCTGCAGGCACATGAGTTTCCATTGCTTGAAAGATATATACTGGGATTTTACAAGACCTGCCAATTATGATTCACTGCATCATTCTCAAGTACGAATGTTCTGTTAAAAGTCTTAAAAATGTTTAGGTATATGATGGGTAGACTAAAGAAGAAGAAGAATTCAAGTAGAGTTTTCATTTTTCTGTATCATTTGTTTTATATGACCACATAATCTTGTTTGGAAGTTAACCAGGCATCCATCAATTGTAAGACCTTAATTTCCTTCGCTCTATTGGAAGAGATACAATTTTGTTAGGATTGCAACTTTATTATCTTTATTGTTTGGACAATCTGATTTCTGTTACTTAATGATGATGCCTTTTAGGAGTAGCTCTTGGGTTTTAGTTTCTGATTGACCCTTTCTTTATATGCCCTAGCTTCTACATTATCCATAGACAGACATTGTTTAAGTAGTATCGTTTTGTGGAGTGCCTATTCTTTAACGTACTCTCTCGGTGTGCACTAATCCAGATTGTCTGAAATATTCAAACTCATAGTGGTACAATAAATTTTGATGTCAGAATAATGTATATATACATATATTTTACAATTAATGTCACTTTGTGCACCCAACTTTTGTGGCATATAGCTCTAGGTTAAAACAATCTTATGCTTAGTTTGGTTGGAAACCCAATCTAGCTGGTTTTTTAAAACCGTTGTTATCTGTGTGATATTAGTGTTTAGCAGCTCAGGGTGGAGCCCACTACGGGTTTCTTTTACAAAAATGTGCCAAAATCTTGCAGCCCTACTTGAGGGTGAAATTCTTGGCTGCAATTATGTGAGGGTTGTGGATTGGCCCTGTTAAACATACATATACATGTAGAGAAGAGAAAGTAGCAAAGTCATTTGAAGACTTGTAATAAGTAACTCAAGTTGTGATTCTCAATCCATATTGGATCTTAGATTTGGGGAGGGATTTGTGGAGGGAAAAAAATGGGAAGGAAAATGTAAATGAAATATAAGCTTATTTTTTTTTTTTCACATTTTCCTTATCATTTCTTCCTCAAGGTTGTAGGGAGGTATAGTGGTTAGACTTGTGATGCATTTTCAAGCCTGTTCTATATTTTGCACTATTATACAATCTGTGCATCTGTTTCTGAAATTTATGTTTGTTTCATGAACTTTTCTTCTTATTTCCTGAAGTTCATACAATATTTAATGTGGCTCTAAAGTTTCCTGAAACTGTGCTTTTCCTGCATTTGAGGGGAAGCACGTAACAATTCAACAATATGTCACAAATATTTTCACAATTGATTTAGTAACTTGATGCTACTCTTCAAGACACCAAGCAATTTTTTATTCAACAGAGTTACAATGGGTGACAGTGGGGTCCCCAGCATGACAATAAATTCAACACAAGATGATACCCTGTTGACTTCAGTGCTACTGAAAAATATTATCATTGTGGTTGTTCAACATGATTGTATGAATACTCTTCTACTACTGTATATATACATTTGATGTGAGGAATTCAACATTGTTCCTATTTAAAGACTGTAATTGCTTATATTCACCTAGTTCACATGAATGATGTTCCTTTTATCATTCCAGAATTCCTCTTTAGTCCTTCGATACTGTTACAGCATTTTCATTTTTATGGAAAAGGACAGCGTCTAGTGAAAAACTGAATGAGAGACAATCCAAAAACTAGATATTTGAACGTCTCTGTTTTAGTTTGAATGTGTTGCATTGAGTAATCATATGCAGTTAAAGAATACCATGGTAATGAGACTGCTCCTTTTCCCAGATGAAATTGATGGAACGTGACATATTCTGCTGTTTCTGGAGGTGGCCTCCTTCATGTATGGCCCGTTACTCATAGACCATATCTTTGTGATATATTGTTAATAGAATACTGGTCTAACCATTTATACCAATGCCAATGAAATGGGAGTGGGCCTAACCTCTTCTTTATTTTTTTTGGCTCTTTCAATTCTTTTAGTGTCAGATAACAATTATATTATTATTTTTAATTAGTGTGATTGTTACTTTTGGTTTCTGACATAGTTTGTTTTGCTGTTTGTTGAATTAGAGCTTGGTCAATCAGTGCCGAGGTGATTTGTTAGCAGACCATCTCACAACCAGAAAATGTTGTCTTCAAGCGATTGGAATGGCAAGGTTTTGTAGTTCATCCAGCCAAAACTTCTATCAATTTGAAAATTTTGCTTCAACTTTATATAGCTGTAAAACTACTGCTGATTTTTTTACAATGTAGTAAGCATTGATCAGCTACAATTTTTATGTGATAAAGTGGTCTACATTCAATCTGAAATTCTCATTTGCTTGATTTCTACCATGGAAAATGTTTGGGCCCCCTTTGGATGACCTCCACACTCTCAAAGTGATCCTAGTCCTCTATGTATGTGTGAGACCCATTCATGTATGTGTAGGGCTCACTCATATATGTGTGGAGCTCACTTATGAGTGGTCCAAATTTGTGGGAATCTTGTGGAGGTGGGGTCTCAATCATTGCTCTTTTACCTTTTGAAGTGGCCTTCATGATTTTCTTTCAATTCTTGTGCTTGATATTTGATTTTTTTTGTTTTTATATTTACCACAGTTAATCGCATCATGTAATTGTAGTGTATATTATTAATGGGAAAAAAAAGAAGAAGATTGATTCATTAACTCATATGACCTTTATCACATGTATCTTCAAATAAATGAATGACTTATTTTTTAAAGACAAATATAATAAAATGATGTAATTATGTTTTTTGGATCGTTATGATTTTTTTTCATATATTATTAATACTAAAATCTACAAAATAAACGAATTTGATATGAAACAAATTAGGTCAATTCAATAATTGTAATTTTTTTTTTATTGTGTTTGTCTCAAAAAAATAAAAATAAAATGTATGATATATTTTTAAAAGAATATTTATTGTCTATTTTTTTAAGAGAAAAATGCAATAAAATGAAAAGTTTACAATTATTGGATCGATTTAATTTTTATTACTATTATTTTTTTATTTTTTATTTTTATAAATGATATACACGGAGATCTTTACAAAATGAATAATTCAGATTATCAAAACGAAACCTGTAATGGATTTCAGGAATCTCTCAAATTCTTTGCAGTAAAGAGATTGGAACTTATGAATCTATCTTGGTTGCTGTCTATCTTGTTTCCTCCCTCTTCTATCTTTCACCTTTTATCATCATCAATAAAGTTTTCTTTTCTTTGCTCAAAAAAAAAAAAAAAAAATGAATCTTGCAAATTCTTTTCAAGTAAAGAGATTTGAATTTGAGAGAAATCTATGTCGTTGAAAACATGTATATCAGGAATGTATGTGCATTCATGAATTCTTTTAAATTCTCACCAGTCCCTCCCTCAATTAATGCGGTATAGCTGGTGTGTTTCTCATGTCCATCGGTCTCTATTGCTGTATGCAGGCTAAAGGGCAAGAAAACACAGCAATGCTACAGACCCAGTGAACCACAACCAAAAAACCCCCATAACTTAATTTTAAAATAGAAACAACATTAAAATTAAAAATAAAATTCAAAAAAAAAAAAAAACTATTTTTTTGGACCAATGGGAAGGGACCCCAGTACCCCCACTGGGGGTCCAAAGCTTTATTCAAAAAAACATTTGATTCCATGAGTAAGAACACATAAAATCGATATTTTGTGGATCTTATTTGGATAAGAACATTGTATTTGATTCCATGATTAATTTTTGTATAAGTAAAACTAAAATCAATTTTGCATTAAAGATGAAGATAGCGATGCATTAGAAAGTGAGGACCATGGTCTAACTTATTTTTTATTGGTTAAAACATTACTCTAAAATCGCCGAAATAACAAAACAAATCTCCTTATCTTTCCAACTGGTTAGGTGGTCCGTATTTCACCACCACAAAGCTTTATGGTATGCGGCTGAACACTCAATCTCTATATCAGAAGGCATTATTTTTGACTTGGAATATCGATCTTATATAGAGATTATAAAAGAATAACGGTAGAGATTGTAAGTAAATTAATTCTTAATTTAGAGAAAATTGCATATCAAACCCTTAAATTAGATATGTGGGCTCATTTTCTATTTTGCTTAAGTTACATAAACTATCAGCAACTTAATATTGTAGAGTAGTGTTATACACAATGAGAGTAATGTCATACAAATTAAGGTGTTATTCATATCATAATATTAGTCTAATAGGTCTTGTATCGCATATTAACTAAAGTTTTATTATTGCATATTACATTTGTTAGTTGGTAAAATTTGTTAATTTGTATAATATTTTCCTTAATGTAGTTGTACTCACAATCAGTGTTGTTGAGAGCATAACAAACAAGAGAACAAATCACACCAAAAAACAAAACTAAAACCATAAAGACAATAATTAAACTCTCAATTCAATTTTAGCCATTCAAAACTAACAAATAAGCTTATAAATAGGCAACCACTCTTCCACCACCATCGCCACCACAACTTCATCATCACAAGTGATCAAAGTGGAAATACAACCATCCCTCCTCTATCTACCATTGCAACTCCAACTCTTTTGGAAAGTACTGTTTAGACTCGACTAAAACTTTAATACTGTGTTTGGTTTGGGAATTTGGGGAGGGATTTGGAAAGGGAAATGGAAAAGGTAGGTGAAATGTGAATAAAATATGTATATATTTCACATAGTTTCACACATCTTTTCCCTTTCCCTTTCCAAATCCCTCTCTAAATCCCCTAACCAAACACACCATAAAAAAAACACATGTAGATTTCAAGATCACAGAAATTGGGAAGAGTGAGGAGGAGATAGTGATGTCTCAATACTCTTCTCACAACTATTTTTGCAACATTTTTATTCATTCTCTCTTCTTGTTCTTGATTTCATGTTCTTTACACGGTTAGGGTTTTGATTTTTGAGATTTTGTCGATTCCATGGACTTACACTTGCCATATCCCATTATCAATGAGATCCCTTAATGTCTCTTGTGGAGACTTCAATCAATTGCATCCATCACCACCACAATCACATCTCTTCAAAATGCAAATAAGATGATTGTTGTCCCATTGACAATGACGACTTCTCGTTGAACTTAGTCTCCTTCAAGATGAGGAAGGATGAACCCTAATGTCATCAACAACACCACATCCAATCAGATCACTCTGCCTTAATCGCAACCTTAGCATCCGTCATGTTCTTTGTCTTTTGCAGAAGGTTTACATATGCAAACCTTGTTGTAAAGAGAGTTGTCGCGACAGTCAATGATGAGGCTTTGAGTCACAAAGATGAAGTTCCAGATAGTGGTGCTACGGAGGGGAATTTAAATTAAAAAAAAAAAAAAATTCATCGTTTATTGGTTGAGACGATTTGTGTGATGCTACAAAGATGGTGTTATCCATTCAAATGCTGAATGGTTGAATCAATGAATTGAAGCTTTTGTTGATGGGAAAGTTAGGGTAATCAACGAGGAAGAAATTTTGCTCCCAAAGTTTAATTTATATTGTTTGGTAAAGAATCAACAAATGAAGGTTGAGACAATTGGTGAGAATTAGCGGCGGAGGTGACATGAGAAGGGAATGAGTGGTATGTTTGGTCCCATGTGGTCAGCTTCATGGTGGGTATGATCTCGTGGATTGTTCATAAACAGTGATGATGATTTGGTGTGTTCAAGTTTAAAGAAAAGATTATCATCAAGTTGAAAGGACATGTGAAAAAGTGTTGCATGTAGAAATTTTTCCATTAGATAAGTTGACATGATGGACATATTTTGGAATTGTTATCTAGTCCAAAGAACTAGGTTAATTCGAGATTTAATTTGTTACAATGGTCAGGTTTTGGGGTTTTTTTTAATAATGTCTCTTTTTATACAAGTTCTTATATATAAAAATTAATATAAGAAAATGATTTGTTTTGCTGGTATTCTTATTGAATAATGTTTGAGGGCCCGAAATTAGGGGTTCGAATTTGGCTCAAAACTCAAAACAACGTCGTTTTGGGTTTTGATTTTTTTTTTCTTCCTTTTCTTTTCTTCCTTTTCTTTCTTCTTCTTCGTTGAGTTGAACAGAGGCGAGAGAGAGAACACAGAGGCGAGAGAGAGAACGTAGGTCGTCGTCGGCATCGCAGCCCGTCGGCGTCCCAGCTCGTCGGCCGATCTCGCAGCTCGTCCCTCGTCGCTCGTCGGCATCGCAGCCCCGCCTCCACCTCTGCCTCCGCCCGCCGCCGCCTCCACCTCCACCTCCACCTCCACCTCCGCCCGATTTTGTTGGCCCCTCCAATTGAGTTCTTCTCCTCCTCCTCCTTCTTCCCCTAATTTCGAGCCAAATTCAAGCCCCTCTGTTGACTTCAGTGCTACTGAAAAATATTATCATTGTGGTTGTTCAACATGATTGTATGAATACTCTTCTACTACTGTATATATACATTTGATGTGAGGAATTCAACATTGTTCCTATTTAAAGACTGTAATTGCTTATATTCACCTAGTTCACATGAATGATGTTCCTTTTATCATTCCAGAATTCCTCTTTAGTCCTTCGATACTGTTACAGCATTTTCATTTTTATGGAAAAGGACAGCATCTAGTGAAAAACTGAATGAGAGACAATCCAAAAACTAGATATTTGAACGTCTCTGTTTTAGTTTGAATGTGTTGCATTGAGTAATCATATGCAGTTCAAGAAAATTTTGTTTTAATTTCTTATATTCACCTAGTTCACATGAATGATGTTCCTTTTATCATTCCAGAATTCCTCTTTAGTCCTTCGATACTGTTACGTTATTCTGCAAAAAGACGAAAAGGACAGCATCTAGTGAAAAACTGAATGAGAGACAATCCAAAAACTAGATATTTGAACGTCTCTGTTTTAGTTTGAATGTGTTGCACTGAGTAATCATATGCAGTTAAAGAATACCATGGTAATGAGACTGCTCCTTTTCCCAGATGAAATTGATGGAACGTGACATATTCTGCTGTTTCTGGAGGTGGCCTCCTTCATGTATGGCCCGTTACTCATAGACCATATCTTTGTGATATATTGTTAATAGAATACTGGTCTAACCATTTATACCAATGCCAATGAAATGGGAGTGGGCCTAACCTCTTCTTTATTTTTTTTGGCTCTTTCAATTCTTTTAGTGTCAGATAACAATTATATTATTATTTTTAATTAGTGTGATTGTTACTTTTGGTTTCTGACATAGTTTGTTTTGCTGTTTGTTGAATTAGAGCTTGGTCAATCAGTGCCGAGGTGATTTGTTAGCAGACCATCTCACAACCAGAAAATGTTGTCTTCAAGCGATTGGAATGGCAAGGTTTTGTAGTTCATCCAGCCAAAACTTCTATCAATTTGAAAATTTTGCTTCAACTTTATATAGCTGTAAAACTACTGCTGATTTTTTTACAATGTAGTAAGCATTGATCAGCTACAATTTTTATGTGATAAAGTGGTCTACATTCTAATCTGAAATTCTCATTTGCTTGATTTCTACCATGGAAAATGTTTGGGCCCCCTTTGGATGACCTCCACACTCTCAAAGTGATCCTAGTCCTCTATGTATGTGTGAGACCCATTCATGTATGTGTAGGGCTCACTCATATATGTGTGGGGCTCACTTATGAGTGGTCCAAATTTGTGGGAATCTTGTGGAGGTGGGGTCTCAATCATTGCTCTTTTACCTTTTGAAGTGGCCTTCATGATTTTCTTTCAATTCTTGTGCTTGATATTTGATTTTTTTTGTTTTTATATTTACCACAGTTAATCGCATCATGTAATTGTAGTGTATATTATTAATGGGAAAAAAAAGAAGAAGATTGATTCATTAACTCATATGACCTTTATCACATGTATCTTCAAATAAATGAATGACTTATTTTTTAAAGACAAATATAATAAAATGATGTAATTATGTTTTTTGGATCGTTATGATTTTTTTTCATATATTATTAATACTAAAATCTACAAAATAAACGAATTTGATATGAAACAAATTAGGTCAATTCAATAATTGTAATTTTTTTTTTATTGTGTTTGTCTCAAAAAAATAAAAATAAAATGTATGATATATTTTTAAAAGAATATTTATTGTCTATTTTTTTAAGAGAAAAATGCAATAAAATGAAAAGTTTACAATTATTGGATCGATTTAATTTTTATTACTATTATTTTTTTATTTTTTATTTTTATAAATGATATACACGGAGATCTTTACAAAATGAATAATTCAGATTATCAAAACGAAACCTGTAATGGATTTCAGGAATCTCTCAAATTCTTTGCAGTAAAGAGATTGGAACTTATGAATCTATCTTGGTTGCTGTCTATCTTGTTTCCTCCCTCTTCTATCTTTCACCTTTTATCATCATCAATAAAGTTTTCTTTTTTTTGCTGTTCAAAAAAAAAAAAAATGAATCTTGCAAATTCTTTTCAAGTAAAGAGATTTGAATTTGAGAGAAATCTATGTCGTTGAAAACATGTATATCAGGAATGTATGTGCATTCATGAATTCTTTTAAATTCTCACCAGTCCCTCCCTCAATTAATGCGGTATAGCTGGTGTGTTTCTCATGTCCATCGGTCTCTATTGCTGTATGCAGGCTAAAGGGCAAGAAAACACAGCAATGCTACAGACCCAGTGAG